TTCGGTCAGATACCAGGGATGTGTTTATTGCAGTTGGCGTCGTTGATGTACAAGTGAAATACAAAAACAAAAAATATCAACAGAAGAAATGTATATTGTTAATTCAAAACATTCTGCGCTGCTGGATAGAGTTTGCTAAGCCATCTAAATATACATTTAATTGGAGCGCGAATTGGATAGCTTAGAGCATGATGAATAGATGAAATGTTCAATACACTTAAAAATTCAATGTATTTTTGTAAACTCGACCTATACAAGGCAGACCTATCTGTCATAGTGGATGAAGAGAGCAGAGATATTCAAGCAATTTCGACGCATCGAGGTGTAATAGACCCTCTTTTGGTATTAAAACCACACCAAGTGATCAAATTTTGCGAGGCCTAGATGGTACAATTTCTTATTTCGACGATATTATTATACATGTTGGTACTTTAAACCAATGCGAGGAGAGATTGATCAAATGTTTGGAAGTTTTACAAGCCTATCAACTATACGCTAACAAAAATAAGTGCAAGTTTTTCAAAACTGAGCTGCAATATTTAGGCTATATTGTCTCAAGTAAAATCGAAGCCGTAATTAATTTACCAAGACCACAACACGTTAACGAGGTGCGAAAATTTCTTGACATGATTACATATTATTAAAGATTCATTCCGAATGCTTCAACATTAACGCATCCCTTACGCCAGTTGCTGGAAGATGGTAAACAGTTTGTGTGGACATCAAATTGTGAAAACGCATTCAGAAATTAAAAAAAGAAATCGTTGTTGATAGGGTACTTGTCACGCAAGTCCCATAGGTATTGGTGCTGTTTTATCTCATATAAACGGAGTAGAACGCCCCGTAGCATTTGCATCCAGAGCCTTAACAAAGGCAGAACAAAATTACAGTCAATTGGATCGTGAAGCTTTGGCAATTATGTATGCTGTTGACTAATTCTTTACGTATTTTATGGGAAGAGAGTTCACACTAATAACGGACAACCGTCCACTTTCTAGAATTTTTCACCAAAGTGCAAAAACCCCAGCAATGACTTGCTTGCTGAATACAGAGGTATTTTCAAAGCTATCTTTTTAAACACTTTTGTATAAAAACGGAATATTTCAAAAGTTTATTGCCCCAGGTCCTCCAGCGACAAATGGTTTAGCCGAAAGATACATCCAAACATTAAAGTGCAAGCTTAAAGCAATGGAAGAAGAAAATGGAAACATTTTTGAAACAACAAATTGTTTTACGATACAGAGCAACGCCATTAGCAAACGGAAAGAACCCTGCTGAAGTATATATTGGTCGAGTTTTAAGAATTAAACTGGATACGATTCGCGCAATGGAGCAGTTTCTGTGTTTGCAATGCAGTTTAAAGTACGCCAATTAAGCTTGGGAGAGAGGGTACAGATTCGTTTGTTAACAAGCCTACTTGGAAGTTTGGAGTGGTGATTCGCAAATTTGGAAATCTTCAAATTAAGTTTGATAATGATTACGAGCTGAAACGTCACATAAACTAACTGTACAAATCTGACGCTGCAAAACCCAAAAAATCGGTTACATTCGCTGACGAAATTGAAATTTCACACGCTCTGCAAATGCAGCTACCTTCGCATCCAATCTCGAGTATATGTGTCTTCAGGCTGAGGTACGCCGTCAGAATACCCGTCAGTGAGCTTATTTCTTTTTTCTTTTGCTTAGTTTTCTCTTTATTTAGGTCATCCCATAAGATTTTGGTGATTTTCCTGTCCCCTCATTTTCCCAAAGGGTCTCATTCGCCTATTTCCTAATTTCTTGGCGTGTTTCGCTAAAGTGTTTGGCGGTATTCATATCTATTGTGGCTAGTTGATTTGCTATCTCGTTGCCTATGATTCCTTGGTGACCCGGTACACATATAATTCGTACAGGTCCTTGTGGTGAGAAATCATTAATGGTATTTATACATTCCAGTACAATTTTAGATTTAACTGTTTTGGAAGATATTGCAAACTTTATTGGTGTTGCATAAGGCCTTATTTGTCTTTGGAGAATTTTATACCGCCGGAATGTTTGATTTTCATAAAAGTCGCCATACTTTACAATGGCTAAAATCAAAAAATATTCAAATCGAGAAAACCGACAATACCAATCTGTTTTTAACCTCAAAGAAGTAATTATCGATATACGTCGGTCAATCAAATTGATAGACAGTATGATGGATAGAATTTTGTAACTTATTCAAAATAAGGGAGGCCCTTCCCATTATTTATTTCATTTATGTTTTTCAAAATAATTTTATCTAATTTTGTAAAAGTGCGTCAATAGTTATGCAACACCAATAAATTTAAGATTGCATAATTAGGCGAAACCATAAAGAATAAATCAATTATTTTTGTTGAATAATACGTGTTTTTGGTCATTTTACTGTGTACAATAACATAATGGGTTCATTTTATTTGTCAACTAACATACCAATTGAATTAAATTTGCGTCTATAGTTATGACACGGAGTGTATAATAGCTCTGTCTGTTTACTCGATATTTGGTAAAATTGTTACCAAATGTTACTAAATGTTGTCTGTTTACCCAAAAATCCAGTAAAAGAGAGTCAAGTGAGGGAGCAAGTTCAACAGTTCAACAACAACAAACGTACTAAAGTTTACTGAAAGAATTTTATGCAGTAAGATTTTGCAAACTTAATTCTTTATATTTTTAGGGAAGTTCCAGAAAGAGGGCAATGTATTGATGCAGGAAGCTTAAATGTTCCCGGGGAACATACCAAATCAATTTTTCTTTTATTGTTCATTTTATTTTTAATATTAAATGCAATACAAATAATTGTGTTCGTTCTTTTTTGTTGTTGTTTATTTTGGCGCAAATAAAATGTTTTCTTGAATCAGCTGTTTATTTGCCAAGTTTTACTAAATGTTGTCTGTTTACTTTTTTCAGTATTATCGCAAAAGAGAGAAAAAACGGCTTACTCTCTGAAATAGAACTTACTGAGTATATGTTACTGGAAAAGTAACCAGACACACCTAATATTGTCTCCAAGGCCCTAGTTGGTGTTGTACGCATACACAAGCAACACGTTCTTTGAACATTCTGCAACGCTTTTACGTTACATTTTTCACCCATTGCTGTCCACCAGACAACAGAAGCGTATGTTAGAATTGGTCTAATAACTCTCTTATAGATCAAGTGTATCATCTTTGGATTGAAACCCCATTTAGAGCCTACGGCACTTCTACAGAAAGACCAGCAACTATGGGATTGAATGAGCGTATTAGTGCTTACATTGTTAATGTCAATGCATACCGCTAAGTTATACACCTTCTCTGCGAAGGTGCCCTCAATATAGTGTACTACCTCATGTTTCCACTGATCTCCCCTTTACACACGCATGTTGTTTGTTTTTCAGCGTATCATTGGGTATATTGCTCTTCAACATGGTATCGATTGTACGTTTTGTACGCGGGGAAGACGGTATCCGGTCCCACCGCTTTCAATGTTGCGAAGCTGTTTAAGGCGTCTATCACCATTGACTTGCCAATAATAGGTTCCTCTGATCTCTCTTCCCTATCTGCCATGACATCGTCCATTGTCGATGTGTTTGATGGGAAGTGAGCATTCATTAGGAACCTTAATGTTTCCTCGATGGTTTCTATCCTATTACCATCGCCGTCTACCATAGTTTCAGGTTGGGTGTGGGTCTTGAATAGAAATTTCTTGATTTTTGAAACGTCGTTGACGCTGTCTACCTGGAGTTGCGTTTGTCGGTTCTTGTCAATTTATTGTATTCTTTCCGTTTATTGTGGAAGTTATCCAAGAATATTGTAGAGTTTTTTCGGCGTGCTCTGTTGTAAAGCTTTCGGTCCTTTTTTCCTTCGTTCCGAATCTCCCCTGTCATCCAGGTTTTTTCAAAGGCAGATCTCCTTACTTACTTCCGTTAATTTGTTGACGTTCCTGTCCCAAACTTTATCCAGTTAGTTTTGGACTTGTTTCTGAAGTGTATGGGTTACAGCGTTGGTCGTAGGATTTTGAACATAATATATTTGTGGTCAGAAAAGGAGTACTCTTCTGGGACTCTCAATTTCTGGACCTCATCTAGTAAGTTTGCTGAACATATTGTTATATCTAATACCTCCTTTCTAATTCAAATAATCTAGAAGGGTCTGGCCCCTTTTGTTAGTAGTTGTACTACCCCACGCAATATGATGTGAGGTAGCATCACAACCAATTAGTTCTTTGTTGCCTGTTTTTAATTGTTTTCTAGTGTGGTAAACCAGTATCATAACACATTGACACCTGTAAATATTTTAGTACAACTCTCCCATCCGTGTACATGTCCTTCAGGAGTAAATATATACACCACAGAATGCAAATTTTGTTAATTTTCACATAAAAGTTTGAGTACATTTGACCCCGCTATATATTGACTGATCTTTATCAAAACATCTACTGTTATTCTTTTGCCTCGTGTAAAATTTCGTAATTCTGGGGTCATAATTATGACCTCTAGAACAACCAGGGTATAAAAATGTCAAGCGATAATTTTTCAGAGATCTCTGAACAAGAAATCATTGAGTGAGAAAACAGTTTTTTCGACACTATTATTTAAAAGAAGTCAATGGAAATGTGCCATGCGTAACTGGTTTCCCATGCTTCACTCAACTCATTGGAATGTCTATTGGGCTGTCTTATCAATTTGTCATGTCGCATATGTATGTTTATTTATTTTAATTAGAAACATGAACATGAATATGAAAACATATGCACATAACCATTTATTTTCAATGCATGATAGTAACAACATTTCAATCCACTTCTGGACATTAAATGGAAAGAAAATTTAATACCCTAAATAAAACATAATGTAGATAAAAGGATGTTTCTAAAATCTATATAGTCGCTCCACAAAGTGTATACAAATGAAACGCATTTTATATTGTTTGCAGTGTGTAATTTGAAATTAAGTGTGCTCTAAAGTGCAGTTTAATATTGAAAATGAAACGAATTCAATTTGTTCGCCGTAGTATTTATCCATAAACTCTCTTTAGCAATGTGAAGTAAGAATATGTGGCGTTTAGAAGTGATTGTAACATTTCCAAATTCATAGGATATACTTTTCCTACCAAAATCTGAAACGAAGAACATATCTATAATATTTTATTTATGATAAAAATACATAAATATGTATCACTTACAGCACACGGTTTCTGGGACCTCAATATAAATAATTTGATGGTCTTCTGAGTGGAAACATCAAAATCAAACCAATTACTTTCATACGCTGCAATGGCCACCTTCAAACTTTGATCGTACAGTTCATTTGCAAAGTAGTACATGATGACACTCTGGGCAAAGATCATAAATATATAGATGCAGATGATGAACATTTGGCCAATTGTTTCGACCTATTAGAAATTAAAGTGTTAAATTTTAGATTTTAATAAAAGAAAACATTCGGAACATACAATAATCAACAGGAATAGCATGGCACACAACATAGCTCCAAAGGCCATAAATTCCACAAGAAATGTATATGTTGTCAAATCGTTAATTGTATCCACAAAGCTAGAATAAAATTTTAAAATAACTAAATAATTCTCTAAAACAGATTTTTGAAAACATTACTTAACTAGTTGCAGCTGATATTTAATACACCATACCATAACCTCTCGAGCCTTTTCATTGCTAACATCCTTTAAATTTCTCAATTTATGTTGTAAAACTTTACACATTAAAATACCAAAAAGTATAAAAGATACAATTAAATTCGTAAATGGTATATACATGCAACATCCGGCCGGTGTAATGATTATTTGAAACAGGAAACATATCTGATAATAGGGTGATTCATATTTATCTATGCCCGGGACATACATGCCAAAAGGTAAAACTGAAAATGAACAATAAAAGAAACGTTAATTTTGGATTTTCAAAATTTGGATATGTCGAAAATATTTCCAACAACCTTTCGATGTTGCAAATAGGGGATACATATTAAAACCGACACACGATGTAAAACCCATGATCAAATTCATTTTCGATATAAATCTTGAGGCCACAGTGCATTCCTGCAGCATTTTCCTCAAAATCTTATCCTCGGAGTTCTGAAAAGAGGGTAGAAAATAAAAATATCTAAATAAATTATTCTACACTGTTTTTTTTGCTCTCCTTACCATCAATTCAATATACAACAAACGTATTTTCTCCATAAATCCTTCATATTCGAAACGATTATAACACAATAAGACAGCTCTCAATATAGTATTGAAAAATAGTACAGCAATGTACGCATTACGTACAATGGCATCAATTGGTTCGGTACTAAAGTAAATGTCCAAAAATTGTGTTGTATTAATAAAAAAGTATGGAATCAGAGCGGAATAACGGCGCCAATTGTGTTGCAATAGAAAAGACCAAAATTTCATGATACGCAAGTTGGTACTTAGCAAGGGGACATCTTCAATTGAGCGAATGTTCATTTTGATGATCTAATAGAGTATTTAAGATTGAACAAATCTTTTTTATTTAATTTGAGTTCACTTTTTTGCTAACCAACGTCGAAGACAATTCAAAACTGTACTGAAAACATATTATTTTTTATGAAGAGTTTTGCAATCACCATATGGAAATTTCTTTATATGGCCTCTGAATGAATTGCAGTTTTTGTTTTAGTTTCTAGTAATTTAAAAGTTTTGAAATGTCAATAAAGTCTAATGAGAAAACATTTTTAAAGTTTTGCCAGCAATGAATCAAAACATATAATTAGGTGCAGATTATGGTAGTATTCTTTGCGGATATAATGCACGTAAAAAGTCTGTATTAATGACGAGTGCTTTCCTTTACGTTAATCTTGCCACGACGATAAATTGTGTGGTCTCGAAAAGTCTCTTTTAATAAAGCCATATTCGCTCGAGTTGTGTGGCATGTGGAGCCGTCTTGTTGAAACCAATACTCCCCAATAGCAAGCAAAAAAATCAGTTATCATATGGCCATAGCGCACCACATTGACGCTGACAGACGTTCCACTATCGTTTTCGAAACACTGATTTTTTTGTATGTTATGGCCTCTCTTCAATAATACCATAGACAGACGACAGCCTTAATTTGCATTAAAAATTCCTTAATTTGAATTTATATTTACCCCTGACAGACGAGCGTTTCTGCATTTACGAAACAGTTTTTTGCTTCAAAACAATTGATTGTCTGTGTGTAGGATGAACATTTTTTACATTTGTTTCATTATTTTTCGGGATTACATCTTTAGGCAATACACTGCGTATCATAACTATAGACGCACCTTTAATTCAATTGGTATGTTAGTTGACAAATCAAATGGACCCATTAAGTTATTGTTCACAATAAAACGATCAAAAACACATATTATTCAAAGAAAATAATTAGTTTATTCTTTATGGTTTCGCCGAAACTTTCAAAATTGCTGGTGTTCCATAACTATAGACGCACTTTTACACTTATTTTGATTTTTTTGCAAGTCTTATGGCCTCTCTTCAATAATACCATAGACAGACGACACACAATTTGCATTGCTAAAAAAAAATTCCTTAATTTGAACCGTGGCTAATTTTACCCCTTGAGAGCATTTTATACGAGCGTTTCTGCATTTACATTTTTGGAAAGCAGCAACAATCAAGGATTTGAAACAGTTCTCTGCTTCAAAACAATTGTTTGTCTGTGTGTAGGATGAACATTTTTTACATTTGTTTCATTATTTTTCGGGATTACATCTTTAGGCAATAGATACATGACATAAAGGAGGAATAGTAACTGTGATCTCAGCAAAACAGCTCCCAGTTTAAAAAATTGTTGAAATTTGCCTTCATTTCTTATTTGTATTTTCATAAATATAAATAAATTTGGCAAGAAACAATTAATTTTCGACAGCATTGCCATATTGAAATTGCCTAATTCAGTATAAATTCAGTGTTATTTTGTGCATTAACAACACATAAAAATTAGGATAATGTACAAGTTAATTTGAATTAAGGCTGTTAATGCAAATTAAGGCTGTCGTCTGTCTAGGCTATAACTTGAGTTTCCTCAGAACCCCAAATATAACAATTTTATTTATTAACACCCACCAAGTGAAATGCACAATATGCTCAAAGACATAATTCCCTGTGCACAGAGTGGTGTAAAAAAAACTAATTATAAATTTTAGTGGTGCCATGTAAAATGGCGTTGATGCATATATTTCTGATAAACAAAAATGTAATTATAAATTCTTAAAATATGTCGTTTTATGGCGCTTACTTTGGGATTATAAAAAAAACATGTTTTTATATGACAGGAGGTCTTTTTCGACAGGAGGTTTTTTACACCCTAAGAGCCAGAAGTCCCAAATTGTAGTTACTTAGTAAGTAATTGTGATATGGACCTAAAATACCCAAATTAAAGTGATCTTAAACATGTAAGTATAGAATATATGTAAAATATTTGTTGACTATTTTAGAAAACCAAGATGTGTATAAGAAACTAAAATGTACTGGTGTTATTGTCTTCTATATAGTCTGGCAAACTCTATCGCAAATGAATAGTTATTTGTATTTTTATTTGGCGTTCGAGAATAATTTAAATAACCAATTAATAGTGGACATATTGAATGAATGAATTCTAAAAAAGGATTCAATTTGTAATTTGAAAGATCAAAAATTAAAATTAGCAAGTTAATGTGTATTTACTGTATATAAATTTATTATTCTAAACGGCAGCATTTAGGTGTATTGTATTGCATACGTCCCCGCTCTACGAATCATCAATTTGTTACGTGTACGAACCTATTCATCTGAACTCATGTGTTTCCAACTTGTAAATCTAGTATCACAAACTGCGAACGCATTTGTTCAGAAATGGGTATAAACAATTACGTTTACGGTCATGGGAAAGAAAATTATATTTTGATCCCATGCTAAAACATTTTGGCACCAACGTTTATATTCACTGTTATTTCACAAGGCGACGCATAATTTTTCGACTGTCAAAAAGGTGTAAACGTCGAAAACGTCATATACCTGTATAAAATGGAATAAATGTAGTAAATGTCATTTATTTCAATATTATTACCATATACTGTTATTTTCAAGAATATATATTATTTTTACATACAGTGGTGGTCACAGAATTAAAACATTTACTGTGGTAAACATTTTTTGATCAGCCCTCGATTCGTTTGAAGTATTTTTGAAAAATTTTTAATTCAGAACACTTCGATATACTGCACTTAAGAGATTTAGTGTGAAAATAGAAAATTATTGCATGCAATTTTTCCATAAATAACGGTTTTTATGAAAATACACTGACTTTGAAGTGGCCATATAATTAAAACATTGTGTGATTTTTTGCTTTACTGCATTTTTTTTGAAAATATTTTTAAAAAAGCTCTTTAATTTAGTTAAATTATGTAAAATAAGCACTGATAGAATCATTTACAGATACAAATTTCTGAAAAAATATTGTCATGTTCAATAGATTTTAAGGCTCAAGAGTTGACCATCAACCATGCTGCTGTGTGTCAGAAACCTTTACTCGTCAACATAGGCGTTGATATCTGTTCGTTCTGTTGTGACTGATATATTTTTTGATAAAATATATTCTGTACTACTCGAACAATCGATTTGATATAATAAATACCAATATCAATCGATATTTTCTCACATACTGCAAAAATATTCCGGCCCTCTTTAGTACAAGCTATAGAAATTGAATTGTTCCTTTAGGTTAATTCCCATTTTTTGAGTTTTTATTTCAAATATTTATTTATTTTGAGAATTATTAATTGTTTTTACTAATTCTAGCAATTTCTGGGGCATTCGGACTTTTATTTTCTATAATAAGGGTGTTTTCTGAATGTTAGGTGTACTGTACACTTTTTTTTGGCAATTTTGATAGATTTTACAATTTTTTTTTTCAGAAATTTGTATCTGTAAATGATTCTATCAGTGCTTAGTTTACATAATTTAACTAAATTATAGAGCTTTTTTAAAAAATATTTTCAAAAAAATGCAGTAAAGTAAAAAATCACACAATGTTTTAATTATATGGCCACTTCATAGTCAGTGTATTTTCATAAAAACCGTTATTTATGGAAAAATTGCATGCAATAATATTCTATTTTCACAATAAATCTCTTAAGTGCAGTATATCGAAGTGTTCTGAATTAAATTTTTTTCAAAAATACTTCAAACGAATCGAGGGCTGATCAAAAAATGTTTACCACAGTAAATGTTTTAATTCTGTGACCACCACTGTATATCTGACTATTCTTTACTAGAACTGATAAAAAATTCTAAACTTTGTGGAGAAGAAAATTTCGAAATTCGATATGGATTTGAGTAAAGCATACGTAATTTCCAAATTGATTAATGGAAATAGCTATTTTGTCAAAAACCTAATGGTTTTGGGTGGGTTTCCGAGGTTTCTGACGTAAGTATCGGAAATGTATGTCATTTACGTCACTCACAAAACATCACAGTGATCATACTGGACTTAATTCAGTTAATTCACATTCATTAAAAACAATAAATTATATAAGATATCAATTTGGAGTGAAAATTATACTACACCACATTGACATCATGTGGTATACCACGTTACCTGCACTTTTTTTAAAATCACTTTTAATGGAATTTAAAATATTTTCTAAAATATATTTTAAATTGTTGGGCTGATCAAAAAATGTTTACCACAGTAAATGTTTTAATTCTGTGACCACCACTGTATATCTGACTATTCTTTACTAGAACTGATAAAAAATTCTAAACTTTTTGGAGAAGAAAATTTCGAAATTCGATATGGATTTGAGTAAAGCATACGTAATTTCCAAATTGATTAATGGAAATAGCTATTTTGTCAAAAACCTAATGGTTTTGGGTGGGTTTCCGAGGTTTCTGACGTAAGTATCGGAAATGTATGTCATTTACGTCACTATTTCTGACGGTCCATCTCTGGTCCGATGATATGATGCTCTTTACCACTTTGGGTATATACAAATCAAGCATAACAAATGCCATCACAAATGAGTTTTGTTGTATGTTTACTATATCCCCTCGATAAAACATATATAGTAACTTTGGAGAACCATTGACATGAATTCGGACGACATTAATTATGTAGTCTCCAAAGAAATATATTCAATTTTTTAATCAATACAGACATACATCATTGCGCTGCCTATCCGCATAATCCTGTCAACCGCGCACCTGTCGTTGGTTTACCATTTGTATAAAATCGAAAAAAAATTATGTATGGGAGCTATATGTAAATCTGGATCATATTGGGCAACCGTGGCATACACCATTTTATTTTAGCTCCAATTTCGTACGTTGTGTACACATTTGTCCCAATAGGAAAAACCTAAGATATTTGGTACACCATTTAGATGAAATCGCATGGAAATATATATTGAAGCTATATCTAAATATTAACCGATTTCAACAAATTTCGATTTCAGTCCAATTTCTTA